CTATGATTTTAAAAACAAACCAGGGATGATATAATTACATCTGTCGTAGCATTTGCCACCAAAACATGGCTTCGAATAGCTTATATAAGCTAATGCTAACTTCATTAACAACCGTTCTGGACAAATAATAAGACTTCAGATGTAGCTGAAAACACAGACACATCATAGCAATACATATTAGCATTGTGCCTCTTTGGAAGGTTGCTTATACTTTTAACAATTCTTTTTACTAAGTCTTTTCACCGTCTCTGCGACTGCAGCTGAGGTTTTTTCAAAATAAATGCCCTTATAATCAAAACAAGAACTTCTACATTATACGTCTTAAAAACAATGATTATTTAACAACGATATTTCTTCTCAACGCTATTTTTGGATTATTGACATCTGTTATGTTTTTTCAATAAATATTTACAAAAACTTTGACCACATTTAAGTTTTGTCTTTAAACACTGAAGCGTAAATCAAGTTACTGAATTTGTGTAATTAATCAAATTAATTTCATTTTGCAATTTGATTAATCACACTTAATCATACAATTAATCACATATCATTCCTAATTTGATTAATCACATTTAATCATACAATTAATCACATATCATTATTCAGTACTTCTAATAATATACACTGTATTACTATACTGATACTAAATAGTTTATATACCAAGGATTGTTATAAGGATCTGTTTCTGCCTCTGTAGAACTCCACCCCCCGATTTCCAAGTATATCGCCCCCTGGCCTCACTCTATACGTCTTTTAACCTGTGTGTTACGTACTGTGCTGTTCAGTTGTCACTAGAGCTGTTGAACTTTATGCCCCAAGCTTGCTTTTTAAGCCCGACACTTAAAAATAAACTGCCCCGATGTGTCACCAGAGGTAAGTGTTGCAGGACAGGTGGATTTAAACCTACAGCATGACAGAAATAAATATTAGTAATGGTAGTACTAGTGGCAGCAGCAGTGTTGTTGCTGCACTCTGCCTGTTAACTACTGCAATATTTTTCAGTTTTTATAAAGGATTGTTTTATTTTCTTTCTTTTTTTAAGCCTCTTTATTTGCAAAACATATATAATTCATGCTCAGTTTGCCTAAGGAACCATCGACAGACGTTTGTTTTTTTAACATTTTAACTTTTCCTATTTTTCTTATTATTTTCTCTGCGTGAAAAAGACATCACCCATTGACACTACTAAGATTTTACTCACACAATTCCTCCCTGCCCCACGATTGACTTTTTGGCTTTTTAACCCTCTCCCCTTCCCTCATCTTTAATAAAGACATTAAACTTAAAGCAGGTTTATATCAGCAGAACCCTAATGGCATCTGTTTTAGAGAGATTAACAGACCAAGTGAAACATTTTTCCATCCATCACATGCCCACAGCGCACAGACACACAAAATCCTATTCTAATGTTTATTCCACAAAACCAAGAAGTTTGTTGTTTTTTTCCCACTGTTATATTTTGTGTCTTGCAGCAGAGATTTGAGAATTAGCTGCAGCTCAGAAAACATGTCAGCTCTCGGTTTCCCGGCTGGTGTTGCACAGCAAAGTCAGAAAAAAACAGGTGCCCAATTTCAGATTAGTGAAAATGAACTGTTTTGGAGGGAGCAGCATATCTTCTACTTTTCTGTGTAGTTTTTTTCCCAAAGAGCAAAATGGTCTAGGCCAGTGGTTCTCAAACTTTTTCTACGCTGTGCCTCCTGAGAAAACATTGAACTCTCTGAGTACTACCATTAGAATATAGAATTAGAATATAGCAGCATAGGCCTTCCCTGTTAGCTTCCACCACAGGAGAGATGTTTAGAAATGTTTAGAAAGATGTTTGTTTACATGTTGTATTAATTGTGCATGGTATGTTTCAGATTTATTCACTGATTATTCACTGAAAATGTAAATGTGAAAATATTAATTTTCCCCACGTACCACTAGAGAGCGCTCACGTACCACTTGTAGTACAGGTACCACAGTTTGAGAACCACTGGTCTAATTCCCTTATTTGTCTCTGATCCCTATTTTGTCCAATAGCATTAGATGTAAAAAATAAAACATAATACAGTGATACCTTCAGTCACAAACAGATTCGTTTTTCAACTCTGTTCAAGACCCAAAAAGTTCCTGACCCAAATACGTTTTTCTCATTGTAATTAATGTAAATCCAGTTAATCCGTTCTTTGGCATACAAACTTTTTTTTTATGGCTTTATGTTTAGAAATAATACAATAATAAGCCATAAAAAGGGATGCATTTTATGAAAGTATCAACACTCATCAATGACGTACAAAGACGAGTTATGCTAACCACTTGTTGTTCGGACAATAGATGCGCAAGGACAGGGATGGATGCTGCTGGGTGAGTGCCTGGGCGCCTCATGCAAATAATTCATACTACTTAAGTGTGTGCGATTTGTTTGCGAACAGGGACGTCCGTGACCCGAGGTATCACTGTAATAATAGCAATAATCTGTCACAAAAAGACATAATGCACGATCAAAGTAATATTTTCTAATGTATTTCATTGAGTTCCATTGGCGGGGAATGTTCCGTGTAAAGCCTTTCAAAGAATGAAGTGATTTAGTTTCTCGTTAATGCTCCTTCCAAGGCTTTCTGCCACCACAAATCCAATCTATTCTCACTTGAATGACAGAATGGCAAAAACTGTGGAAAAATGAAAATGACTGAACTGGAATAGAAGTGTCATGGTGAGAAGATGGATTTCTGTGCTCTCAGTGGAAAGCTGTCATAACAGTCCTCAGCAGCTGTTCTGGGAGCAGCTAGGAGTCGCAGGAAATATGTCACACACACCTCCATGCCTCTGTACAGGCCTAGGCAGGAGTCCCACCTAACTGTGTCACATTTCCATCTCATTGTGGTGGAAAGCCGATCAACGGAGAAGAAGAGGAGCACAGAGGGGCAAGGGCACGAGGGGGGAGATCCTTTTAATTTAGTATAAGAGGGGAAATCTTAAAGCCCCCGGCCTGCTGAAAGGAAGAGCGCAGCGTGAAGAACAGCAGCTGTTCACTGCCCTCACATATTTCACTTTCTCCGCAGTGACTTTATCAGATCTGCTGCGACAAGGAAGATCTAGGTAATGAGATAGAACATAAACTCTTGTTGTCTTTGGTCAGAGAAACATTAGAGCGGCCTTACTGGGGCATTTCTTTTTTCGACAACGACAGGCAGCAGTTGGTAGATGCAAAAAGTTGTGGCGTCCCTGATAAAAGTCAGCCCTCGACCCCGCACGAGACGGTTTTTTTTTTTTTTCTTTTTAATTATGAATGCACAACGGACTCTTTCTCCATGTTTGTACCTTCAGCCTGAAAAGCTTAGTGCTGCCAATTTGTTGTGCACCAGTGGCTTGTAATAACAATGTTGGGAAATTGGGTAAAAAAAAAAAAAATTAAATGTAATCCTTCATTTATTCATATATTTCCCTCTTTTTCTTAGGGAGAACACATTTACAGATTGTAGTTGGCATAAATGCTCACACTAAAGAATAAAAAATAATTTTATCCCCAATAAAAAAATGTAAATAATATATAAATATGTACTGCATATATATGCATCTAGTATATACACATACTGTATATGTATTTCTACATATATATGCTGTTTTACATTTAGAATAAAAGTATTAAACTTTGATTAATACAATTCATTTGTTATGTATATGTATGTATATATGTAAATGTATTTATATATCTGTATATATATTTTTACATATATATATGCTGTTTTACATTGACACTAAACGTAATTAATTCTGTTTAATTCTTAAATCTTCTATTAGAATTATATACATCTGAGGCAATCATTTCAGTTAACCCAGAAAACTATGGCTTTTGTTCAACTGAAATCAATTTTACGAATCAATAGTACTTTTCTATTATCTACATTTCTAATTCACGGCTACGCACACATACAACTTCTGTTTGTTTGTGAAGAAAAGCAGGAAAGTTTCTACGTTGTCCCGTATCAAGTATCAGCCTGCAGCCTGGAGCTGTGCAGTCAAATTGTCTTGTCCCGTATCAAGTATCCGCCTGCAGCCTGGAGCTGTGCAGTCAAAGACCTGGAAACCACAAGGGTGCGCTCCGCCAATATTTCACTCCATTACATTCAAATAATGGGATTTTCATTCAGACCAACTGTGTCATAAATCGATGTAAATTGTGCGGATGCTGAGTGGAATGAGAACATCCCGGTTTCATTAAATCACACTGTTTAAAAAGTTGAAACTGTTTTACATTGACTACAATAACAGGTTTTCCCTAAACTGCTGCAGGAATACATTTGTTGAGGAGTGTCCTTAAGAATTGAAAGGGCATTGTTTAAACTGCCCCTGATAAACCCCTGAGGGAGGCCGGGCAGGAGCCCTCCTGGGATGGGTACTGCTGGCCAACACTGAAGGACTTGGCAAATGATGCCAGTCTTACCCCCCACATGCTGTTTGACCGCCCCAAAGTTAGCCAAAATGTAAGGCAGGGTGAGAGGGAAGGAGAGATTAATGCCTCAGCATTTTAAATGCCAAGCACTGCAGTTTCCAACACTAGGCATCAGAGGAGAGTCACTTAAATGTTGAAGATGATTAAAAAGGTAAAGAAAAACATGGCCAAGATTAACCGCTTATGAGTCATTGCAAATATATATATATATATAGAGGGGAGATCTCACAGAGAAAAGAGGGGGACACATTTAAGGATTTTTTTTTTTTACACAGAACCTTATATTTATATGGAAATAATTGGGAAAAACATGGAAAAAACAGTGGCAGTAAACACCACACGTCTTTATCAGTTTAACATGTTGTTTTAATTTCAAGAAATGTTCATGTTTCCTGTACAAACTTTGTACAGGTTTCTATTCAGGTTGTGTAAAAAAAAAATTGTTTGCTCTGATTTCAAAAATTGTTCATTGTTTTAGGGTTGATAATAGATAAAATAAATTAAAACACGGCTCAAACCTCAAAAAACAATACATTGATTAAAAAGGACGTAAAATTGACCAGACCTGTGGATAGTTGCAGGGTCTTGACATGTTGGCCGCGGTGACGCATCCAGGCTGGAACCCTCCTGTGGGCTGGGATTGGCTCCATCTGCCCTGGAGCTGGCAGGAGAAACACCAAAGATAATTGAACGATTATGTGAGCATATATCAACAACAATACACATCAATATCCATATATCTCTGAAAAACCCATTTGCTATTGGCTGATTTTTTATTGGCCAACCGATAATTCAGCTCTGGGTGGAAGGATACAGCACTGAGGCAGAGGGGCTTCAGGAGGGAATTCAACAAATACAGCTTTTGGATGCAACTCGCAACTATCCAAAACATTGTATTTATGGAGGCTTTAAGCAAGAGATTCAGAAATTGTTATCACAAACTCTCCTACATGCCAGACCTAAATACTCCAGCAGGTTGATTTTGTCATGAATATTCAGAGATATTACTAGTATCTTTTATGCAACCCTTTGAAAACAAAAATCACTGAACTTAAATAAAATACACGTTTCCATGAATGTTTGGTGTCATGTGTTGAAGAGCTAGATGTTTTAGTTTTGTTTTTTTTTCCCCCAAATTATTTGAGTCATTTAAATTTGCGAGTACAAACAGTGTTCACGAGTGTAAACGAGTGTTCACGTTGATTTATGGAGCCCATTAAAGCAGGTTGTCACTTTTACAGATTACACATAACAAATTAAGCCGGGGAAAAATCTCCATGTTGTTACGGCGGGTATTTGTCAACCGAAGAAATACCTTTTTAATACCTGAACAATGACTCTCGACAGCTGGAAGAGGTTTTTACATTTATGTCTCCTTAGTCGAGTCACTAAAATGTGTAGTTTTATGAGCAGATTTCAGGGTTTGGCTTTTGTTTTTATGACATTAAAATATATTAGCTGTGTTTTTTTTTGTCAATACGAGTTTAATAGCTAAAGGATAAGGACAACTTTCCTCTCTTACATGTCAAAACGAGCAGGCGAGGAGCTGAAGTCCAGATAAAGACTGCAGCTGTTGCTCAGGTGAATATACCAGTTTTCCACAGCTAATGCCAGTCTTGCATTCAGTCCCCAACAACGAAAACCTAAATATCCTACTAAGTTGCGTTTAACTGTTAAATCTAACGAGGCCTGAGCTGCGTTACGAGCGTGAATGGCTGGGTGAAATGATGCCCAGAACTAAATTTGTCTAATTTCCATTCATCTACATTGTCCTGAGACTAAGACAACGCAGCTGTGTTTTTAGGAAACCATTTCATTTACACTAACGGTGTAAAAAAGTGACAATTCACGCGCTCAACATCCCAGACTCCTCTGAATTTGATTTTGAGGGTGAGCGACATTCTGACGTTGCTCGAATATGGTGCACAACGGTGGTGATGTTCTCTAACTTATTTTGACATTCTGTACAGTAGGGGTGCCCAATGGGGAGATCGTGATCCACCAGTATATAAATTGAGCATACAGCTGGATTCATTTAACCAGTAATGCAACATGTACAAAGTATGTTCAGTTTATAAATATATAGTAAATATATATTTTTGCCTGGTCATTTGAATAGTAGCTTCCAAGCCAAAACTGTAAAACATGTAGTCCCATCCACTCCCCAGCAGGGGGTGGTAAAAATGCACCATTATACTACTTGTGACACAGCTCATCTTTTTACTTTGTCAAAACTCGTGATTTATCTGGTTAGAAAGAAAGCAGTGTGGCACACACCCATCTAAAACAGCGGTCTTTGACTGACGCGCTACGGTGATGACAACTCTTTCGACCGGCCAACAAACGCCCAGTGCTCTTCTGTGGAACTCTGTACCTCCAATACAAATTTCCAAAACATTGTTATTACTCATAAAACAAAGACCTTCCTGTATATGACACCATCAGGAGATAACAAATATGGAGGTTCAGGGTCAGACAGAAACTGGTCCACGGGTAATTGCCTTGTTATGGAACTAAATTGACAAACATATGTCCACTTGTTTGGCAATAATTCGGATTTTCCGCAGGGCTGAAGCCTTTGGCAGCAGCACCTCATTTACTGTAGAAGTTTTCTAGAGAAAAGTCATCAGAGTCTGCTGCAAAGCCATTCACTGGACTGAAGTATATGAGTGTGTGCTCACAAAAAAAAAAAAAAAACGTTATGGTGTGAAATAAAGTTTGATTTAAGCTCGCTTACACTTTACCGGATGAAATTACATCGCTTGCTTTACAAAAAAATAATATTTTGTTGCTACTTGTGGACTTGTCTTTGGTGTAAGTTATAAGTAGTATTTAATTATAAATATATAAAATACATAATAATAATAATAATATATAATAATAATACAAATAATATTGTTATTAATCATAATAATAATAATAAAGCTTATACGGTCCACAATGAGAAATTCACAGTGAAAGTCTTTGCAACCCACACAGGCTGCCACAGGGGGCAACATAAGGATTATGGGGGCTTGAACCAAGGACCACTTACAGTATCTCTATATTATATAAATACATGTTTCTTTTCCTTTAGTTTTTATAATTTATATATTTTATAAGTATTTATTTACGTATATATATATAGTATGTTATATATTTATTTATACGAGTTATTTATTATTTATTTATTACATTATTTCAACACTTCTTCAATACATAAAAGTGAGAAATTAGTTTAATATTGGGTGAGGTGTTTTTAATCATAATTTCAAATAGAACAATAATTGGTTGAAAAATATTCTTATCAGTAATTTTTGTTAGACATTTTAGGCGACCCCTTTCCCATGACCCCACGTGGGGCCTCAACCCCAAGGTTAATGACGCTGATACAGTATGTACTGTATGTGTGTTCAGTTTGTAACATAACGATGACACGGTGGCCTACGAATAATAGAGCATCCCTGTCTTAGAGGTTTGCAAAGTAATTGCAAATAATGATAATGATGACAAACACACCAAAACAAACCATATGCACTCTCCCTCGCAGAGCCATTCATACAAGAAAATGGGAATAAACTCAGAAAGGAACATTACTTTCGTGACTCTGAAGTCATCAACAAAGACTAAAACTTGGGCTTAACATCCCTGATCCCCCGTTCAGCTCCTGGCCTCTGGCATTTGCTTAGTTTGTGGCTGCCACTGTTCTTCCATGCAGAACTCATCCCTTCCCCAAAGTGCTGCAAAACTGGAAACACAATTGTTTAAATGCCTACATGGTTTCCCTGCTATGTTTGTTTAAATTAAAGGGCATTGTTAAAACTTTTTATGTTCTGTTACAATGTAAGATACACTTGTTTTCATTAATTTAACAGTCTTGATTTAGGCTGTCTGTACAGCAGGGGTTTTTCCCATATGGATTGTTCTTCCTGTTTCCATTTCATTTGTCTCCATATTCCGGCATGGATCGACCCTGGTTTTATAACAAGGAGATTTCTGTGCTCTGTTCTGATCTGCTCTTCTAGGTACTGTATATATTTCCCACTTTGGTAGCAGCCATGAGAACTAAGAAAAGTTAAATAAATCCTTCTTACTTTCTTCATCGGCACTGTTTTATCATTTTGCAGTAGAGCATGTGAATGTGACAGCTTGGTATTCCACTTGAATTTTTGATTTTTTTTAAGGATGCATCTGTGACTATCAAGTGGGTCTCATCACATGCAATTCATCGCTACAGTCTACCCCAGTGCAGAGTTATGAAAGAGTACCAGGGCCATGCCAAATCGGATAATGATGCATATACAGAAAAGTGGTTGCAGAAACCTGGGTTAGTATTCATTTTCAATAACAGTTAGTTCAATAGGAGTTAAAAAGGGGTTAAGTAGGATAAAAAGACATTTCACTTCCATATATTGGGGGCTATGGTTGCTTTTACTTAACGAAATCTCCAGCATCCAAACGAGATCTTTTAGTGGTTCTCAAATGGCAATCCGTCTAGCTCTGAGGGTGCTCAAGGGCATACTAGGTATGTGAGATTTTAAAAGATATATACACATAAAATTATTAAAATAGTCATTTCAAAAGCATCATGATAAAACATAATTAAAAGATTTCAAAAAAGTTCTTCATTGGCCAAGTCCCAAACCTTGGGACCTACTGTGGGTCATGGATCATTTGGTACCGGGCGGCAGAGAAAAAGTTAAAATTTTAATTCGATTTTTTTTTTTTCTTCAAAATTCGGTCTGCATGGTATTTTTATTTGAAATACTACCACTTCAGCGCTTGACTGAATTGCAATTTTTTGAATTTTTTGTCAGGCACTAATACAGTAAGCCTGACAAAACAAACTTCCCAAGAAAAAAAGGAAATGCCAACAGTCATTAAATGGAAGTGCATAGCATAAAATAATAATTATATTTGGATTGTATTTCTAACAATTAAATTATATATGATGCATTTTACTTTGTTTTTTTAATGATTTTGACCCACATACCCGCACACACATCTGCCTCTGGTCAATGGAAAAAGTCTTGCATAAGAACTTGTCCCTACGGTGAAAAAAATGGTTTGGAAATCACAACTACAACAAAGTATTAGGGCCACATTGAGAATAAAAAAAAATAAATCAATAAAATTACAAGGTTAAAGTCTCAAAGTTAATAAAATAAAGTTGAATAAAGTTTTTTCAAGTCATAAATCTACAGTACATGAAAAAAAACTTGCAAATTTATGAGAAAAAAGTCATAGTTTTATGAGATGAAAAATGAAAGTTTAAATGCGCTTTGGAGGAGATTGTCCCAGTGTCTAAGGGATTTAACATTTGACTTAATCTGATAAATTTACAACTTTTTTCCTCGTAAAATTCTCACTTTTCTCCTGTAATGTTACAACTTTTTTTCTTGAATTGTTCTTTAATGTAACTTTAATCTTAAATTTTTGTATTATTTTTTATTTCTCAACGTGGCCCTAATACTCCGTCTTACTTAAGTAATGGTACACATATCTAATTAAAAGAAACAAGCAAACATTGACAAAGGCACTTTGGAACAAGTGCAATTACACTGAAGTGAAGCGTCCACCCAGGGAGCTATTTAAACCCTTCATTTTCAAACACTGTAATAGTAGTTTGGTTTAATGAGCCTAAATGGACACAGGGTGTTAAATAGCAATAACTGTGATAAATAATATTTTATGTTTCACATTAACGCTGCGGTGTGTAACTTTGAATATAAATGAAAGGCTGCTATCAAATTAGAACTATTATAACAGATTAAAACTACCAGCTCCATGTGACACTGTGTTTCTCACCACAGCAGTGTTAGTCATTCTAACCCATTCTGTGTCATGGGAAAACTTTTCACAAAGTTCAATTTCCACAGATTTTTCAACAGACGTAGACCCACATGTCATCATTTACACCAGGGATGTCAAGCTCATTTTGGTTCAGGGGCTGCCTAAATAATTGGTCCAGACCAGAACAATCATAACATAATTACCTATAAATAACAATAAATCCATGTTTCCCCCCCCATTAGTTTTCATCCAAAGAAGTACATGAGATAAATCTTAATAATATGTGATTTTATATTGTTTTCAATTACTTATAATGAAATATAATAATTCAAAACATTTCCTGAACATGAAGTGTTCTTTTTATCTTTAAAATTCATCAAACGGGCCAGATTGAAACCTCAAACGGGCTGGTTTTTGGCCCTGCAGTCTGTATGTGTTAAAGACAAAGACTTTTCTTACCTGTTGGTGTGACTTCCAGGACGTGGTGAGTTGTTAAAGGAAAAAAAAAAAATACAAAAACTAAAAAGAACCGAACACTACTGCTTTAGCTGCCAGCCAGAATTTAGTTTAACTCCCGCCTCTGTCTGTAGCATTTCCATTTTTATAAACTCCAAAACACTACGCTTTCCATACAACAGATATTGACTCCTAACACCTGTGTCCACTCCTCCTGAGGAGGAGTCTCTGATTAACACGGTCCAACTCTTTAACTGGTAGTTCTCCGCGTTTATTTTCAAAACTCGAACACACCCTAAGAAACACCCAAAATACGTGCGCACTTCTTAGCTACGTACTAAACAGGAACTCGTCGATAAACAAAAACAAAACTTATCATCGGACCACTTTCTTGTTTTCCGTTTAGACTCTTTCAAAATAAAACTTCCGTCTATAATATTCAAAATAAAAGGCAGAAAAATAATAACCTGGCTTTAAGTCAATAATACAAAATGAACAAAGAAACATAAAACAACACAGCCTAAACAATATTAAAGGTCAATTACAATACTTTCTCCAGTTAGGCTCAATTTCTTTATTTTGTTTTCCTCACATTTGTTCTTTTGTGTCCTGTCTTGGGATTTATTTTATTTTATTTTTGTTCTGTGAGTCTGCAATTTCTAATTTGTTAATTCACTTTTTAAATACTGCATTTTTTGTTTAATAAAACCCTCACTGGCTGGAATTCAGACAACCAACATCTGAATTTAACAACAAAAGTGAAACACACTTTTATTTTGAGAGTACAACTTAAGAAGTTAAAGTAAAGTTAATTCGGCAGACATGTATTTCTTTCTTCTTCTTTCTCTAGCATTTGCTCAAGTACTAGAGTTGTGTGTGTGTGTGGTCAGTGTACTGCAGTATATCCTTCTGAATGTTTTTTTTCCCTGGCAGGTGTTAAAACTAATGCATGCTGAGTTGCTCATGGCAGGGGAAAAAAATATATTTTCTCTGTTTTGTGTGCAGGTATCTATAATGAGTAACATGGGTTACTGTAGAGTCATCGTCTGAATCATTTTCTCAGCTGTCACTCATACTTGTTGTCTTCTTGTTGTTTGGTGTCTGCCACTCTTTCTTGTTTTTGTCTGCTATGCTTTTAAGCAAGTTAACTTTAGACAACAAATTACCAAGACCTGCATTGACTGGTTCTACAGTATATATTGACTAATACTGCTGATTATATATTTATCTATATGCCCTGGTCTTCTTCTTCCAGATCAACTCTGACATCCCTCCATTTTTTTTTTTTTGCTGACTCAACATAAAAATATGGGTCACATTTTGCATGTTTTTTTTTTAATTAATTTAATTTAAAGTATTACATTATTGAGTGAAGTCTGTACTTAGAGAAGTTTACTACAACTACTTTAGTACAAACAACATAAATTGCTTCGTCTTCAAACAGGTTAATTAAGTTGAACCAGTTAAATTTTAATTATGTAAGCATTAGTTTACTTTTTAACTCACATTCTTCTCAGAAATATATTCATGCAAATGTTACATTAATTGGTTCAGGTAGTAGTAACCTATTTCTCTGAGTCGGAGGAAAATACACATTAAAATTCCAGTTGTATGATTAAGCTGTTTTGGAACACAAGTCAGCTTCTGGCATGCCTGGACTTACTGCGTGTTGATTTACTGCAGTACCACACAAAACTGTTGCCTCCATGAAACAAAATGACATAAAATAGCCAGATAAAACCTGGTGAGATCTGAAAGCTGGGAAAACATTGAGAATCATACCTGGCAGAATGATTCAAATTCTTTCACTCCTGTGGTTTTCTACGATGTAGTGCTCATTTTCTTGTCCGTAATTTTGACTGTGCTTGACTCACAGAGAGACAAACTGTTCTCATCCATGACTAATTAGACAAGCAAATGTATGATCAGGTACCTACGGCTGTGGCATGATTAGTCATGGATGAAGAATAGCCAAGAGGTGCAGCTGCTTTAAAAGAAATATATATATATTATCAATAAGATTAAATTAAATTAGATTAGATTAGATTAGACTGGATTAGATTAGACTGAATTAAATTGAATTAAAATTGATTAGATTAGATTAGATTAGATTAGATTAGATTAGATTAGATTAGATTAGATTAGATTGCATTATATTAGATTGGATTAAATTAGATTGGATTAGAACGGATTAAATTAGATTGGATTAGACTGGATTAGATTAGATCGGATCAGATTAGATTAGATTCGACTGGATCAGATTAGATTAAAAAATGAAATGCAGTGAGCCATTCAACCAGAAGAACAAATATCCAGTTGATAAAGTTCATATCAGAGTAAAACTGAAATAGTGTTTGTAAACTGAAGAATGCAAATCGTATTATATAGAAAATTAGGCAATAGTAGATGGTATTTGCAGTATTTATACATCCATGTAATTATTTACATATTTAAATGGCTGTACATTGATTGATGTTGTCCAGTCACGTCCCATCTACTACAGCTATTCTGTTAGAGGTTACGTTGGAGCTGCAACTTATCTCTGCTGACATTGGATAAAACTCGGGAATGCCAATACTGATTCCGTACACTACCCAGGTGAAAAGACTTGCATCGATGATCCAGTTAGAGCCAGCCGCGTGACTTCAAAACACCTGCTGTTATCAATATACTGTAAGTGTAAGCTAATGTTAGTTAATTTTAGAAAATCCCAACATTAATTTCCGTTTTGTGTGACACGACATGACAGCTGGCATTGGCTGCGGTCTTCGTCTGACCCTGAAATGTATTAAGCCGTAGAAGATGAATAAACGAGCGTTCTGAAACACCTTGGAGAGGTGAGCAGTTCAGTACATTTCACAGCTTAGGTCCTACATTATGTTCCACCACTCAAACACATCACAGGAAAAAGACATGTTATCCTCTTGAGTAAGAAGGGTTTGAGCACAACCTCGTCCCCAGGCCGGACCAGAACCATCAATATTCAACGACACCTACAGTCATATTCACAACACTAGCAAGTTTTTTTAGACAAATGCAAGGACAATGAGTTGAACATTGCCAGGTGTCAGTTCTTGACTCAACATTATGTCATCTATTTATTCCTCCTCTCTTATGAAACAGTAAAATCAAGTACCATCTCTCCAGACCAAGACTGCTAACAAGGCAAAGTCCAGATACTGGCCTTGTTAGGGTTCTTGTTGATGTAATGTTCCCATATCAGTTGTTACCAGGACCTTATAAACTTGCTATTGTTAACAGCACACTCTCCTCTAATGTGATACAGTACCTGGGTTTGAAAACTTAACGGTTAATTTTAGGTCAAGAAAAAATTGGGGAAACTGGAACCAACCCATTAAAAATAATTTGATGATAGCTTGGTACATCTGAGTAGAGCCTGTTGTAACATGTGGCACTTCTGTGGGTAATTAAGGATATTCACTTAAACAATGAAAAATTATCTCTTTTTTTTTAAAGACTAATAGAATTTGATACCGTCGTTCACAGCATTTGTAGTTCTACCTAGCTATTTCTCTACGGAGTCAGGTTTGGTTATTTGGCATCTGCATTGATCACGGCAATGCTGTTTATGCCTGATGACCTGCAGCTAAATGATCAATAATATCATGTAATCACTACATTCACAAAATATCAGTTGTTTCAGAACTAAGAGAACTAATAATATCAGTTGTAAAACCCAATATGTGTTAATGTGCGTAAAAACAGGAAGTTCCAAAAAAGTATTTCCAATTCGGAGTTGTTTCAGAACTAAGAGAACTAATACTATAAGAAGGAGCAAGGAGATATTGTAACAGAAAATCAAATTTTTTTTTTATCATTTTTATTTCTATTGTTGATTTTATACTATAAATCATAAAATGTCAGTTTACCATCTTCTTTGTTTTATCAACTTTTGCCATTTTACTTTTTACATTTTACAAAAACAGATTTTACTCAATTTTACATTTTACCAAATCCATTGCTCCATTCCAGTTCATTATCATTTTAGGGTTAGAGCATTTCATTAGTTTTAATGCATTTGTTAATGCACATTATCTTTACATGTTAATATTTTTATGTTAATTTGTTCAATTTAAATATTTTCAGGTCTACTGGCGACTGAGCAGATGTTCAGCCGTCAATGAGTAGTAGTACTCACCGGGCTCCTCTTTAACCACTTTTTATATTAAAGTGTCTCTGTAAAGTGACTTGGAGTCAATACCAGCTGTGATATTTGATTTTTATCCGTAATCATAAGGCAACAACACGCGCACATTACTTTACCTTCTGATAAGGCAAATGTTTTGTAAGTTTTGTTAAGTTTTCTTCTGATTTACGTCTTTATTTATCCGCTTATTTATTTAGTTATTTAACTGCAACCATGAAAATTCATTTATTTTTTACAGATTAGAAAAATACTGTACGGCCAAATAACTGATATTTGCTCCTGTCTTTTGGACTTAAATCAAAATTCATTAATACATTTGTTTTTCATCCTTGTGCCGAGGAGGATTAACTCATTGGAAGTTATACATTAACATGGAATGTCATATTAGTCCTCTCTGTCATGTGTGTTTTTGCCTGAGAGTGTACAAGGTTACTGTGTGAGAATGTGCAATATAATTATTATTCTGCGTCTCCTAAGGGCTCATGTAGTTATATGTCAAAAAAAGATGTTGTTGCCCATCATGTTGGACTGTGTAGATTTTTTGAATAACGGCAATAATCGCAATTGAAGCTCACTTTGTAAGACATTTCGTTTGGCTGCCCCAAAAAAAAAAAAAAAAAAAAGGAGCCATGCTGGATCTGGAGCTGTCTCAGACTTCAAAAGGGTGTGAGATGGGAAAGAAATGAGGAAGTACAAGTGAAGACACAAAAAAACAGAAAGGATGAGGGAGGGTAGGGGGTGGATAGGCAGTTGAAAGGAAGATGGAGAGACAGACAGAGAGAGAGAGAGAGAGAAAGAGAAATGTGCAAGTGTGTGTGTGAGCGCGTACGAGTTTGGGGAAGAAAAACATTCTAGGTGGTAAACGATAGCCTGCCAATAGACTCAAAGAAAGTGAGGGAGCACAGAACACACCACCTTTGGCCAAGTTCTCAAGTGCTCATTTAGAAAATCCTGGATAAGTTGCTGAGGGTTTTGAACAGAATCGACTTTTTCTTTTAGTCTGGAGGAAAGCCTAGCGGAAGCCCTTTGAAAGTCCAAGTTACACAGGCAGTGTGCAAATGTGGGACAAAATCTATAATGAGGCAGACATTTCTTTTCTCTGACTTCCCTCTTGTCACTATAAAATATAGCGTGACAATAAACTGATAGAACCATTACGGGCTTATGATCAGGGAGCAAGA